CGTCCAAATTGTGCCTCATTAATTGCTTCAATATCCAATACGTAATGCAGGACAAACTAGTTCAAAGAGGTCCAAATGCCAACTTTACAAAGTTTCAGCAGAGACCATTGCCATGGAAGCCCACAAGATGCTGTAACAGCACTAGTGGAGAATGCCCCAAATCCTTTGCTACAGGTAGAGAACGGCATTGAAAGGCTCTCACTTTAGGCAGGATCACTGGTGCTACATGCAAGACAACCATATCCTGTTGAAATTCGGTGAATGGGGGTACACAGGATCAAGCATGGAGTTCACCCATTTCCTTTGCTGTGCTACCACCATGGAAGCTCCTTCTAGAGGTTCGAATAATGGTTCAGTCAGGGCCCGTGAGACCAGTGGTACGTCACATATTGGCTTCACCACACTCAGTGGAGGCGTGATTTCAATCAATGCCTATATGAAGCAAAGTGCAGCAAAGTGCACACATTCACCCTGCTGAGGTACCAGTCACCAGCAACAGCAACGTCTGGGCTAACAACATGGAAGCTCCTGCTAGAAGTTCAGTCAGAGTCTGTGAGACCAGTGGTACGTCACATATTGGTTTCAACACCCTCAGCGGAGGCTTGAGTTCAATTGTTGCTTATATGAAGCAAAGCACCAGGGGCATCAACGCTCAATCGGTACCCTTCAGTACAGGTAGAGAATGACATAGATAAGCATTCACCATAGGCAGGATCTTCAGGTGCCAAATGCAAGACGACCATATCTGTAGAAAAGTAGTGAAAGGGGGTTCACAGGATCAAGCCTGGAGTTCACCCATCTTCCTTGCTGGGGTACCAGCCACCAGCACTTTCTGTGATACCACCATGGAAGCTCCTTCTAGAGGTTCAAATAATGGTTCAGTCAGGGCCCGTGTGACCAGTGGTAAGTCACATATTGGCTTCACCACACTCAGTGGAGGCATGATTTCAATCAATGCCTATATGAAGCAAAGTGCAGCTAAGTGCTCCTCTAGAGTGTTATAACATAGAACCTTTCAAGGCCTGAACGAGGAGTAATTCCAACAGACAAAAGCATGTATAGGATTGTAAGAGGATCTCAATGACTGTCTCAGGGATGCCTATATGGTCTCCCGCATCAACACCAGAACTTGAGGATCCTGGTGTGTCACGGGGCCTTGTAATAGGTCTGGACGTACAGGAATTTCCCTTGGAGGTTCCAGAATCATCTTATTCATCATAGGAATTAGAGTCGACACGGTCTTCCACTGTCACCTTTTGCATTGCCTTTTTAAGAAGGTCGAAAACAGGAAAATATGTACATCAGACTAAAATTCTAAATTTGAGCCAGTGTATCCTGAACCTGAGCATTCTGGTCCTAGCATGTAAAAAATACTTCTGGACCTGGTAGTTCCAAGAAATGGCCATCAGATCTATGTAGGGTATCAGACAATCTGCGTCAACCACGAGAATACGTCAGGACATGGTTGCCAATCAACCTTGTCCACAGTTATTCGGCTCCAGCAAACAGCCATGGTATTCTGAGCCACTGGTTGTTCTTCTGTGCCTTGATCATTATGGGCTGGAATTCCATCAATACGTATCTGTGAGACCCATCTTGGTAGATATAGGATACAGTTGCATTGATATTTGAGCAAATTTGGACCCACTTGTTCTTCAGCAAGCCTCTGAAGTGAAGAAGAGCCTTGAAAATGACTCTTAATTCCATACAAATGAATGGAAATATTGTGCAACATGGTCCAAACACTGTGCAACCAATCTTATAAAAACTGGAATTCGAGCTAATAATTGACCAATGAGGTTCTCTTCACTGGAAGCTCAGAGATCTAATCCCTCTTTCAGCTGCCAGGGTAAGGTGCAACTCCACTGATGGGGACATAGTAAGTGGCTGGCTCCAATAATCTTTCTCTTGTTAGACCAAGATAGGAAGGATCTGTAAGGAATCCAGAGATGCCATTGGGCCCATCTGACAAGTCTGCTGGTGGAAGCCAGGATTCCTAGTAGTTGCATCTATTTTCTTGCTGTTACCAAGCAGAAATGAAGAAACTGGGAGAGAAAACCTTCACAATCTGTGGAACTGTTCCCGAGATAGGGAAAAGCAGAGCCTAGAATTTTCCACTCGGGAATGTCAACCACTGAGCTGGTCTGAAACTGCTTTTCTTGATATTCATCAAGCAGCCAAACTTTAGGAGTTATGAAAGAACTATATACCTATGTGTGCCTGCCTTCTGAGGGTTTAAGACTAATAGAAGTAGATCCTCCAGATAATGGAACCAAGTGGAGTTCTGGACTCTCAATAATACTATAAGCACATACGAAGATTCTTGGGGCAGCATTGAGGCCAAATGGTAGGGCATTAACATGGAAGTTCTCTTCTGAGATAATGCCGAAGATCTCTGCAGATTGGACTGAAAGTAAGCATCCTTGAGATATATAGAGGTAAGGAAATTATCCTTCCAGATTGCTTGAGTTTTGGATCTGATTAACGCCATCCCAAAGATTAACATTCAGCCTCATGTTGGCCCCTCTTAGGTCCAGTGTAGGCTCTCATTTGTTTTGTCTCTTGGCACCCGAAGAGGAGGCAAAACTTGTCCCTGGAACTGCTCTTGTTCTGGGACAAAAAAAAAAAAAATCACCTCTTCGTCCAGAAGGCTTCTTCCTTCAGTGCTTTACCTTTTGATTCATTGGTCTTAATACTCCTGTTGGTATGGAGACTCCTGTGCCCGTTAAGAAAAAAAAACTCCAGTCTATATCAATCTGGACCATGGATACCACTCAAGCCTCCAGAGTATGACTAACCAAGGTATGTGTGATCAGAAAAATGAGGCTCCTAGTACTGGAGGAGATATGTTCATTGCTGAAAAGAAAAACGACTGTGTTATAGCTCCATTAGAACCTTGAAAGGCAGGTTTACCAACTGCCATGAGTTACCTCTGGAGTATTCCCTGCAGGGCCAGTAGCTCCATGTATCTCAGAAATACTGGTCACTGGAGGTTCTCCGGTCAGACTATGAGGAGCTGGGATCCTTGGTACTTCCATCCTAAGGTACCAATATCTTGCAGCCCTCATTCGCCTTTTCAATGGAATTATCCAAAGTTTTCCCAAACAGCACCACCCCTTCAAATAGAATGGTGTAGAGGGCAGACTTGGAGGATGAGTCATCATCCCAGAAACGGAACCATAAAGCTTTCTTAGCTGCTATAGATAAAGCCATTTGATCCAGATAGGATAGTTTCTGTGAAGAAGTCAGTTGTAACCTGAAGACTTCAGACTGCCTCTTCAATCTTGGCTTTTAATATGTCTCTCCATAGTAACCTTTAGATCTTTAATCACATATTTCATGTTTGTAGAAACAGCAGCGGAAATCACAGCTGGATGGCCTCCTGCAATGGTAGTCGTAAAATTTTGGACAGGTCTGCGTCCACTTATGATCCATAAGTTTGCAACTTAGGTGGTGTAGTTCTGGGGTTGGAAATAACTTCCTCCACAGGGTAAAGCCTGGCCTCTTTTCTTACCCCTTAGGCCTCTGGAACTTACTTTGTAAGCCCTGCCCGCATGTCATGTGGCTGCACAGTGATAGGTCATGCTGAAACAACCTTCTGGAGGCAGTCAGTGCATAACGGATTTATTTCGCTGTTTTCTCCTCATAACCAGATCCTGGTGAAGAATCAGACATCTGACATATAATAATAACTAAATATTACCTGTGGTAAAGTATTAAGAAAAAATGTGCACTGTTAAATTCTATAAGAAACCAATGAAACAGCTTTAAAAACAGGCTGAAGACAGCACTTATCCATGTCTGGAGACCCTGCAAATACTTACCCAATAAGTGTATGGTTACTGTAATTTTCCCTTTATTTTAGGCACTTTCTGGCAATTGCCCTTATCCAAGATGGCTGCCACAACTTGTATTCCCACAATGCAAGTCATCTGTATTAGGCCCATTAAGGCACAAACTGCACACATGTGGGCCTATTCCGAGTGTGTTTGCTGTTTAGAGACCAGGGAGATGACTCTGTCTGAAGCCTACATGGCCCCTAAACACCCAGGGAACCGTGAATAAATCACTGGGACAGAGGGGAAGCAACATAGATAACAAAAGTGCCTGCAAGGAAGTTTAAAAGGCAACCACATGCAAAAGAGGCCTCAAGTCTAAAGGCCTCAAGGTATAAAAGGTAACACAGTTTTCAGATC